CTGCATGTCCCTTCTTCCCTTGACCCATCATCCCAGCTGTGTTATCTTCAGATCCACCGGATATATGACGTAATCATCATGGTCACCCTATTATGGGTACACTTATCCGGATCCAGGTCGCTTGGATCCACCTCACTGTAATGGTACACTCGCCGTGGACTCCCCCAGTCTTCATTTTGATGTATTGTTTGTTGCAGATATCACATAAACTATGACTAAACCCGATCGATAACATGTAGTGGCTTCCACTACAGCAGGCACTCCTACAAGTTACGTACCAAAGCTAAAAAAGTTTGGCTTCCTGCATAAATGTCAAACTCTGCAGTCAAAAAAAGGTATTGTGAGCTCTATCCAGCTAAAATATCTTCTGTATCATACAGAACAACAGTGACCTTGTGTGGATTCACTTGCAATCAGTCAGGAATGCAATAAACTAGGCCAGCTGTTACTTGTGTGATCAAAGCTAAATTCCGTATTTGAAGTTTTGAGCTTTTACTATGGGATTGTAATCAGTACGAAGGCGCTTTATTGAGGCGTGCATCTCATCTAATCATGCTCTATGCAGCTCATCTAAACTCACGGGGCCTTATTTTCTCGATAACATCATGCATGACCAAAATGGTCACGCAGCATGTGTTAATTCGTAAATAGCATTTTTGAAGCAGACCTTGGACCGTATAGTCTACATGTACGCTAGAACTATGTATTTGAGGGCACGTCAAGAATGGTAGATTCCAGCCAGAAATCCACGATGAAGTTCAACTTTTTGTGGTCAAACCATCCGTATCAACATCTGTAAAGGACCAGGGCTACTTCACCATCCAGCATTTGCTTCCCTTGTCAGAGGCGGTTTTTTAGTGGTTACATTTTCCCTACTAATTCCCGGTGTGCGACTCGTATCGACACTCATTTTCAATCTCGCCATAGAGAAGATGCTTCAGGGACTGAACGTCGAGGAGCTCAAGACGCTTGAGGCAGCACTAGCATTGATCGAAGAAGATGGGGGTGGCTATAGTAGCTTTCGGGGAAGCTTGGATAACAGCTCGAGCTCCACCGATCCGCACGAAGTAGAAGGCTTTCCCGACTTTGACTTTGAATCGAACAAGGCAACTGTCTGCAAAGGTAAAAATACAAACTCTTCCACTAGTCCAGACGCCCAAGAAATCCAACGCCTCAAAGAGAACCTAGCGCTTCCAGGGAGAAATCGCTCCCGAGACCTTCAGAAACTGGAGCTGCTGCAACTGCGAGTGGATGCTGAGGCATTGCAGCGGCAAATTGATGAGCTGGGAGACCACCAAATAGCGCCAGCACCAAGCGCAAACGATATTCTAGAGGGGGATGCATTGCTAGGCAAGCGGATGCGCCTAGATGCATGGAAAATGCTTGCAATGAAGCACAAGAAACATCGAATATAGGCGGAGGCTGAAAACCAGAATCTTCGCGAGCTATATGCCAGCCAGCTCAAGACAACTAATACATTAAAGAAGCTGTTGGCGAAGCAGGCGTCGCTGAAGTAAGTTTTGTGCTGTGGGCTGTGTGTTTGTGAGAAATGTCTAACTATGCTTTTCATTTACTTGCACCACCGCAGAGATAAACTTACTTATTCTGAAGTAAACACGCGATCTCTCAGTTTCGACGTGCTTAACGTGCAATAATATTCAACAATACAAAAATGGACTGAACAAACAATTGAGCTTGATCACATTCAACACCATAAAGAGAGACAGAGAACCTGATTCGTTAAATAATATTCAACACGCTGATGCAGATCACAAACGTGTACGTGTATAAGGATTTTAGCTGACTGCATCCTATTGTTGCACGCTATCATCCATAATGTATCATTTTTTTGCCTACCACGTCACCAATTGTCTAAATGTCTATGATATTGTAGAGATAGCAACAAAGTTGAGTTAAGCTCGGAAACAAGAAAATAGGTTGTCTTTTTTTTGACAAGCAAAAGAAGCAAAGTAGCCAGAAGCGTTCAGATTCTTTTGTATCATCAGCGCGACAGGTACTACAGTACTTAGTTAAGCCAGGTAGTTCCTGCTGAGCTGCAGTTTGTCTACGTATTGGATCGAGTTTTGGGGACCCCACGCTAGCAAAATTAATGAATATTTTCTCGCCCACTGAGGCGCTTCTTACCCTTTCCTTCTCAGTGATATCTTGCGACGGTAGCCGCAGCGTCATTTTGAGCGATAAACTTGACGCTGGGCCTAGACACCGTTCGACTGTTGTTGCTGGGACTGTGCAATCTGTACTACTATCTCCTCATGTCCAGTTTAGCATTCTTTTTCAGCTTCTGCATATGATTTCTAGTCGTTTGTCGCCAGAAACGCGCTTCTATATCAATTTTCCAATGCTAGGGCCTTTCACTTCCTCGAAACAACACGTGAATATGCCCATTACTTGCTGCAGCAGCTGCAGCCTCTCGGAGCATTACCTTGCTCAGTCGTTTGGACACACCATCGAATCTAAGTCACTTGTATACAGCCATATCACACTCCCACTGAAAGGCTGTTATGAACATTGCCACAATCGCTTTACCAATATCACTTTGAATGTTGCCCAGACACAGTACCGTTGTACAACAACAAAATGCTCCGCGTCATGCTTCATAAATATCGTCTACGGGTAAGGTTCGACCATAACTTTTGCGTTTTATAAAAGCGTCATGTTGTAAGCAAGCCAAAAAGCTACCTTTACTCTTGCTTGAAAAGGCAATCCTCACCAACTTCCGCTTATTAAAGTTCTATTTAATAGTATCACAACGCTCGTGCATAGGAACCCACTTGCAAGCTTCTTCAGGTCCACGAAGCAGCTCTTTGGTTTTTGCCACAGGGATAGAAATACCAGAAAGTGGCCTGCCATGTGACGATCAACCCAATGTAACAAAATCATTAAAGCAATGGTGAATTAAAAAAAAAGAAGCCTTGCCACTCATCAGACTCAGAATCTTTTAAGCTACATCAACATTCAGTAGGCTAACGATCCAGCACGACTATACATGTATTTTGTTTGCACGCGACAGCGGTTTGTCAAAATTTCGTATCCACATAGCTACATTAGGCCACAGGCTAAAAAAGTGAATTTTTCGTCAGTTATGTGCATGTACCTTATATAGCAGTATTTGCTCACGATACAACGCTATCTGGCGCAAACAATACAGTTTCAAATTTAAAACGCCTTAATAATTCTAAGCTGCGATATTTTCGCATATAGCTCAATCACTTTTAATATAACTAGGCTGCAGCTGTAATATTCAAGTATACATAACAGCGTGGTATCATTGGCAAAAATATGTATCTGAACTAGTGCGACATCGTATTATCTATAATATATCTGGTTTTCGCGAAATCCTGTAATTTACCGTTGGAAAAAAGTCAAAGCACAGAGAGGAAGCTCAGATTCACTTGTCAATTACCAAGATGCCCAGTACAGCCAGCCAAGTGCTCGACCGCCTCAACCGACAGTGGGAGGACGAGACCTCCAACCTCATTGGCAAGTTGGAAAGTGAGGAAGATGAAGTGTCTCGCTGCTGTATTTGCACTTGTAGAGTACCTGATATTGTACTGGCGAGATGAAATGCAACACCAAACATTGCCCCTTCACAACTTCTCACCCAATTACCCAATTTATATGGGCTTTTTTTTGTTGGAAAGATAATGATTTCTTCTCTTAAGTAGTCATAATCATCCTTGAATATCTGCTCAAATTCACATGCTACACTTAATCGAAAAGTGCGTGTCTTTCGTTCCGCCCAAAAAATCGAGGCTATGTTCTTGACATACGGCATCAGATGTTTTGGTCCTTACAAACTTTAGTATTACAATCAACAATGCCCTTTTTACTCATTTCTATGCACATTTGATCCTAGGAAGTGGGGCTGTCGGCGATGCGTTTAACACTGCATGCAGCAATCCCTACGCTGCTCCTGTAGCTAAAACCAACTTCTGCAGATGCGTTGCATTCCAAGCTGCATTCTGGCGTAAAGCTTGTCACTTTAGGCTTCTTTGTTTATTAAATATCGCAAGAAATGTTCTGTGCATGCATGATCAGCATCAATTTCCCGCAGACGTTTGAGCTTCCACCATTTTAATAAAAGACAAGAAAGTCAAACAACGTGTGTTTGTCTGTGATCTCTGTGCTACCCTGTTTCCATTGCGGGTCTGCCGGCATTAATCCGATAATTACTTTTGTATTTATGAGCAAAACAAAAAAATGGTGGTGCATTTCATCTCGCCAGTACAATAGTGTACCGGTAAAGAGTAATTCATAACTAAGGTATCGGCAGAACCCAGGTGTCGTTGAAATAGACCGACTCTTGGGTAGAAGCCTCCATAATTTAATTTTTGGGTCACAAATGTAGCCAACTGTATTTCATAGGATCGTACTTATACCAGAAGTAGCATGAGATGCGAAAATACTAAAAACAGCAGGGTAAATGCAAAAAAACAAGCATGTGCTTTTCCAAGAATCATGTTTTCCGGGATAAGGCATGGAATTCGCATAAAATTAGATTTTATGCGAAATCAAGCACCATACGCTAAGACACACTTTTTGAGACTGTTATCTATTGTATATGCTAACTTAAAGGTTTGGATAGGTTTACGTATCAGTTATTTGTTAGAAACATGTTATTAATAACCAAAGCTGATGCATTTCACGGAATCGAAAGGATACCAGCGATGCTGGTGCGCACGAGCGGCCTTGTGCGCCGCACCATCGCAGAAGAGGAGGCGCAGTGTGCCTACAACCGCCATGTGCTCACAGAGGTACGTGTAAAATGGTTTAGGTATCGTTAGAAAGCGACGAATATTAATGCTATGACTGTGGCGCCAGGTGCAGAGCGTGCTGGACGAGATGGTGTACGACGTGGAGAGCTGCGAGCACGAATGCGAGCTCGTGACACTGCGACAGCAACTAGCTACTGCAGAGAGCTCCCTGCTGGAGTATCAAGAGCGGGAGAGCGAGCTGATACAGGAGAGGCAGCAGGTCGGCCCCCTTGAACAAGAAGGAGTAAGGCTGGTATCATTAGTATAATAGTGGATTATACTGGCTAGGCGTACGAGTATGCGGTGAAAGTGGAGCAAGAGGGCAGAACAATCATGAGCAAGCTGAATGAACACTTGTCGGTTGTTGTCTCGGAGCTCGCCAAGAAGGAAGTGTACGTAATGTCATAGAGTTGTTAAAGCTGGAGATTTTAACTGATACCCTTGACAGGATGGAGAAGGAGCTGCAGCAGGCGAAGGAGCATTTAAAATTAACAGGGCAGCTCTCGAAAGAGCTAGCTAGTGCCCAGCGAGAAATTCGTGAGTTACGGAGAGCGAACGACATCCAGTATATTCTCAGGAGAAACTACTCAAAACCTGCGAAGCTTGTGTCGGACTCGAGGATACAGCCACGTGGCAATGGTAGACCTGCACGCGCTAAGTCAGTCCCCGGAGGATTGTCTGCATCAATGAATGACGAGGAGAACGTCTTCTCGTCACTACCAGACAACGTGATGCTCAAGCTGTTTTCCTTCTTGGACGAGGACAGTATGGTCGCAATTAGCGTCACTGATAAAGTGCTGGTGAGACGAGTGAATGTGATGTTTGGAGTCACGACGCCTTCCAGCTTGGCCTACAGCGCTCCCCCAGCTCCAGTTAAGCGACCTGCATCGCCTCCACCTAGGAAGACGTCGAAGGGCCGAAGTCTCAGCTTCATCGGGTCGTCGGAGAAGGACAAGGTAACTGCCATAGCTGTTATGCTCGACTTATCAGCTATGGTAACAGAGTGTTTTATACATTGAAGCTCTCGAAGGTGGACGCGATCGTGAAAGCACTTAAGCCTGACCAGATCAAGTTATTCCACGATATGTCAACTAGAGTGAAGACATTAGAGGTTCAATGCCTGTGCGTACGTCACTGTTATAACAGATAAATCTCAGTTTTGTTTCTATCGCAGGCTCATCTCGCTCAGGTGCAGACTGAAAAGGAAGATGTGGCTGCACGTCTGTATAGCGCAGAAAGCGTCCGTGACTTCCTCATGGAGAAACTAAAAGACTTAGAAGACACGCTGGCTAATAGCATGACAGCGACAGCGAAAAACGACGCGCAAGCGGCTGTTGACCGGGAGATTATCGGCTTCCTCGATGCGAAGACACAGGAGTACGAAGTCGCGTTGAAGGAGTATGCGCTCCAGAATAATGGACTTCGTATGGAGCTTGCCCAGCTGATAGAGGATCATGCGTCCAAGACAACGGTGCGTTGAATAGTTGACCTCTGACAATTATCCACTATTCTCTAACGTAGCTCTACTCAGATTATCCAAGACATGGTCGAGTTGCTTACCGAGGAGAAGAAGGAGCTCGAAGGGCAGGTCCGTTCCCAACGTAAGATCTTGGTTCGTGAAGTCAAGGTGCTGCGCGCGCAGAACCAGCAACTTGCCGCCGAGAAAGACCACTACTTCACGCAGCTTAAGCAACTTAAGCACGCCCTCCAACACCTCGAAGAGCTCAGCGAAGTTCCGTAATCAAGCAAGTTGAAGTGGTAAACGTCACTTTAAAACCCCACTATAGTAACATCATCATTCGAGAACGTTTGGTGTGCACAACGCAATCAAAGAGTGATGGTCATTGTCATCCGTCAACTGCCCACCGCATTTGCGTGCCCGCATCGGATCCTCCACCTCTCATTATGGCGACGGCGACAGCGCTACGTCGCTTCGCGATGGCGCGTCCTCGCTCGCACATCACAGCCGTCAACACGCTGCGTCTTCAGCGTGCACCTGTGCTTGCTGCTTATCGTGTGCGTGCCAACCCCTTTGCATGTAGCAACCGCAACGTTTTCTGCGCCTTTTACTCGACTGACAGCGGCAAAGACGACGATACGGATGCGGAAAAGCCCAATGAAGACGCGGAAGACGATGGCGTCGAAGTCGTGATCGACAACGACCTCGCCACTGTCGGAGAGGGCGACAATGCCCCCACGTATCCTCACGTGCTGGCCGTGCCCGCTCTCCGCCGTCCATTTTTCCCTGGCGTCGTGCTTCCCATGACTATCACGAACCCAGAGGTGACGCGCGCTCTGATGGCGTTGAAAGAGAGCGGACAGAAGTACGTCGGCGTGTTCCTCAAGAAATCCACGGGAGACCCTCTGAAATCCGGTGGAGGAGAGGACTTGGTGAAGAACTTAAGCGAGATCCACCATGTTGGCAGCTTTGCCAGAATCGACAACATGCTGCCATTCGACGCTAATTCAGTACAAGTGCTCATGGTGTCGCAACGACGCATTGCTATCGACGATATCCGGGACGAAGGACCTCCTCTTCGAGTGAACATTAGCAACCTGGACAACCCGACGTTTGACCCGAAGAGCAAGTTGATCCGCGCGTATTCGAACGAGATTGTCGCTACATTGAGGGAGATTGTCAAGATGAATCCTCTGTTTAAGGACCACATGCAGTACTTCTCGCAACGCATTGATATCCACAACCCTTACAAGCTGGCAGACTTTGCAGCTTCTGTGACTTCAGCGGATGGCGAAGAGCTACAGCAAGTGATGGAGGAGATGTCGTGTGAAGCGAGACTGAAGAAGGCTCTGGAGTTGATTACCAAGGAGCTGGAGCTCAGTAAAGTCCAGCAGACGATCAAGGAGCAGGTGGAGGAGAAGGTGTCCAAGAACCAACGCAACTATCTGTTGATGGAGCAGCTGAAGGCCATCAAGAAGGAGCTCGGTATGGAGAAAGATGACAAGGATGCCATGATCACAAAGTACCGTGAACGACTCGCTCAGTTTGAACCCGGCAGCATCCCGCAGAGTGTGAACGAGGTTGTGGAAGATGAGCTGAACAAAATGTCGATGCTGGAGAAGAATTCTTCCGAGTTCAACGTCACACGCAACTATCTGGACTGGCTTACTCAGTTGCCATGGGGTAAGGCTACGGAGGAGAATTTTGACCTTGCCAAGGCCAAGCAGATCCTGGATGAGGATCACTATGGACTTAAGGACATCAAGGAACGTATCTTGGAGTTCATTGCTGTTTCGAAGTTGAAAGGAGACGTCCAGGGCAAGATTATATGCTTTGTGGGACCTCCAGGAGTGGGGAAGACAAGTATTGGCAAGTCTATTGCTCGCTCGTTGAACCGCGAGTTCTACCGCTTCTCGGTTGGCGGTCTTAGTGACGTTGCAGAGATCAAGGGACATCGTCGCACGTACGTTGGAGCGATGCCCGGTAAGATCATTCAGTGCCTGAAGTCGACGCAGAGCTCGAACCCGCTGATCCTGATTGATGAGATTGACAAGCTGGGACGTGGATACCAGGGAGACCCAGCGTCGGCGTTATTGGAATTGCTGGACCCCTCACAGAACAGCGGCTTTGTGGACCACTACATGGATGTGCCTGTTGATCTGTCTCGAGTTCTTTTCATCTGTACTGCTAACGTTACCGACACTATCCCTGGGCCGTTATTGGATCGAATGGAAGTCTTGCGTCTGTCAGGTTACGACTCGCCGGAGAAATTGGCCATCGCGAAGGAGTATCTCGTACCTAAAGCCTTAGAGAAGACAGGGTTGCAGAAGTCCGAGACGACACCCGAGTCGTTGGGCTTGACGGACGACGCTATTCTGACTCTGGTCAAGCAATACTGTCGTGAAAGTGGTGTTCGGAACCTCGAGAAGCACGTGGAGAAGGTGTTTCGCAAAGTTGCGCTTGAAGTTGTCGAAGATATCGAGAAAGCGAAGGCAGCTGAGTCCCAGGAGGCTGGTGAGTCGACTACTGCGGAGGACATAAAGGAAGACTCTGACGACAAGGACCGTTTCTTGATCTCCCCGGAGAAATTGTCAAAATATGTGGGAAAGCCAATTTTTACCTCGTAAGTGCGGGCTCGTGACTGCTTCGATTTTATTATCTTTGCTTACACTGACAATATTATTTTTATGCTCTAGCGACCGTATGTTCGACAAGCAGTTCCCGGGTGTTGTGATGGGACTTGCATGGACGGCTATGGGTGGAGCTTCACTGTACATTGAGACGACCAAGGTGCACACGAAGGGCGATCGCTCCGGTCTTATCACCACAGGTCAGATGGGCTCTGTGATGGAGGAGAGCACGAAGATTGCGCACACGTATGCACGCAGCAAGATGCACGCTATCGATTCCGAGAACAAATTCTTCGAGGAGAATGAAGTGCATCTTCACGTTCCCGAAGGAAGCGACACCGAAGGACGGGCCGTCGGCTGGTTGCACTATGGTGACGGCGTTGCTGTCTCTCGCTATGGACAAGTACGTGCTCTAGCGTTATCGTGAGTGTTGGGATGTTGTAACTAACAATTCTTGTTTTGATTTAACAGGACGGTAAAGCCCGACCTCGCCATGACTGGAGAGTTGTCGCTAGTGGGTAAGGTACTTCCTGTAGGTGGCATCAAGGAGAAGACGATTGCAGCCAAGCGAGCAGGCGTCAAGACACTCATCCTGCCACTCGGCAACAAACGCGACTTCGACGAGTTGGATGAGTACTTGCAAAAGGATCTGGATGTGCACTTTGCTGACTACTACGACGATGTGTATAAAGTCGCTTTCGAGCAGGAGTAGATGGCCACGGCAAGTGACCCAGCTATACAGACCTTGTAACAAAGCTGGCTTACAGACTGAACCAGTTTTGAACCTACAATCCAGATTGAACTACATTTTTGCTTTAGCTTGTGTGTTTTACATAAAGGGACTCCTGGATCGTGAACAGATTTTTTTCTGCCACGTCCGACGCTCATCATGGTGCTGCGCATGCTCTGGAACATCACCTCTGGACTCGTGTATGGTGCTCTGCACAAGAGTCCACGCTCCGGACTCGCAGGTCTGCACTACCCAGCAGTATGGAGAGCTCGCTCGGGCTTCCTGGACTGCGATGTGAATCTTCACTTGAACAATTCTTCGTATCTCTTCAGCATGGAACTCGCTCGCTGGCATTTCACTGCGTACATTTGTGCAAATTTTCTTGTTTTTTGATAATTTAAAAATATCTAATGTTATATTTCTCATTGTAGGGCCAATGGCGTCTTGTGGCAAGCGTTGAAACATCGACGCATGTTCCTAGCTGCCTCACAAGCCATTCGCTTTCGCCACGCCATCCCTCCATTTCATGCGTACGAGATTAAGACTCAGATGGTTTATTGGGACGGTCCGTGGATCTTTTTCTTGCATCAGTTCCAAGATTCTAGCACGGGCAAGCAGTTCGCTGAGGGGCTGTGTCGTGTGATGGTCAAACAGAGCGACGAGGGCGTGTCGTTCGAAAAGATGATTGCGGAAGTCTACGACGGACCGATGCCAGCTCAACCTACAGAAGCACCTGACGTCGTCAAGGGATTTCTTGAGTGGGACGCTGCCAGTCGCTCGAGTATGGAGACAGCTCATGAGACGGAGACAACCAAGATCAGCAACAGCCCGTCTCCTCCTAAGTCAGAGAAGCTTTGGGAACGTATCTGGATGGAGATGAGGCGCTCGATGAACCGCCCATAGCAGGTGGAATGAATAAAACGGATTCATGTGTATGTCTACTGCACAACATGGTGTTCAGGACATTTTACATGTTTAAAATTGACTTCTTTTCATACAAGTATGTACTTCATAGGTGATCGGCCGAGTTGAGAAAGCTCAATCCTAAAGTGGTTCCAGTTAATTACGTGAAGTGTTGGAGGCTTCATCTGTCAGAAGCTTATAAAATACTACAACGGCTTACGAAGTCACTAGGCGGTACTTCGAAGTAATTTTGCAATTTGCATTAAATAAATTCATCAGCTAAAATTTTATGTGCGGAACGCTTGCAGCAGCAATGCGTCGAATGTAGATGTACTATTTGCTGTGAAAAAAAATCAATTTGCACCCTACCTGTATATCGCAGTTTACATTACAGTCAGTTTGCTTTTCGAGTGCGATTAGGTATTGCAATTCGCCAGGCCATGCAGATTTTTTTTTATCTATCCGCCGGAAATGTTTTGCAATTAAAAGGAGATTGCATGTAACTAGATATTGCATTACCCAGCTGGAGTGGAAACTACAGCACCCAACTGCTGCACTGAGCTACAGACATCGTTGATATCCTCGTTCATCAGCGTGTTCTTCTGCCATAAAAGTTTTGAAGCTCAGAATTCGTGGTTCTTCTTTAGTAAAATGTTCGCTTCTAACACGACGGAATTCAAGCTGGCCGTTCGGTCCGTCACAGCAAACTGCCAGAGCTGAGCTTTCGCTCAACGGCCACGGATGTCCCCGCATCCTCGTATGATGTAACGTACATCGTTTTGAATCACTTGCGTTTTAGGAGTTCCTGATATTAGTTTGAAGTGAAGTGTTGCAATTTTATTTTGCAATGCCCAATGACTTGCCTGGGGGACAGCCATGCGTCGGACGTACTGCTAAAATGTACTAACTTTAGTATATGTACGTCCGACACATTGCTGCTGCAACCGTGTAAATTTTGGTTGATTTAAGTTATCAAACTCTCTAGCATATTTTTTTTTAATTAATAATATGCTAAAGAGTTTGAGACTCGTAAGTGCTTAACCATATGCTGAAGAGATTCAGACTCGTAATTCGTTTACGCAACAACCAGGCATATACTTCTGCAGTGCTGGAGCAACAAGTATTGTGTTCATACACGTAAGCAAATAACGATTTTTTTCCGGATACATTGCTGCAGCAAGCAAGGCTGCGTCCGGGGTGCGCAACATTCCAGAGGATATTGGCGTTTCACCAGATCGGTAGATTGATCCATTTAAGCAGATATGATAGTGCGCACCTCTACGACTTAGATAGTAACACTCACTAACAGATATATAGAGGACCCCGGGATGCTATAACGCCGTGATTCAACTGGCCGTGATTAGGAAAGAATAAGTGTTTCGATAATTTTTAATAAGATTTAAAAAAAGAATTCTGATATTTACCCTTATCGACCACGAACACTGCGATTGCGCTACACAACTGAATCCCTAGTCACCGACTCGATGATGCCTCTGGAGCTGGTCCGGGCTTAGCCACGTGCCCGCTGTATCAATTTAGCTCCAGGGAGAGAGATCAAGCGACAAGTCATTGTAGAAATCGAGCTACATGTAGCCGAGCTATTAACAGAAATTTTACGAGGAGAAACCATAAAAAACAAATATATATTGTATTGTAAATGCACATTATTGGGTGCTATACTATGATGCAAATTGTCTACGAACAAAGCGATTGCGAGCGTATTAATTATGAGATTTTATGATATTAATCAGCGATTAGATAATATATTCACAGGGAAAACAATGACAAACCACGTTGATGACGGTCTTGGGAGGGGGGGGGGCAACTTCAGAGATTAATCAACACAACCAATTTTGCGCCCCACTCCAAACCAGCTCGAGAACGAAACTTTCAAGACTGTCATGACGCGTATCGTGATCATCGGAGGCGGCCCAGCGGGTATCAACACCGCACAGCGTTGGCCAAGAATCTCACAGAAGCCGACAACACTGAAGTAGTAGTGCTGGAAAAGAACGCCTACTTCTACCATGTTGTGGGTGCCCCACGAGCTTACGTCGACGCAAACTTCACCAACAAGATGTCCGTTCCGTACGACAATGCCATTCCCAAGAACGCCACCAAGTTTGTTCGTATGGTGCGCGGTGTGGCCACGCAGATCTCTGCCAACTCGAATGAGGTGCTATACCGAGCAATTGACAGCAACGACAGGGAAAGTAGCGAGACGACAGCGCTGCACTTCGACTACTTGGTGCTGGCGATGGGCAGCACTTACACCGTGCCTATCAAGCAAGACATCCACGACTACGCTCGGTCAGTCACGAAAGCCAAGCTCCGAGAAGTGCGAGGTCACATCGAATCGGCTAACAAAGTTTTGGTCGTGGATGGAGGTGCCGTGGGCGTCGAGGTTGCTGCTGAGATCAAGTCGAAGTTTCCCAACAAAACGGTGACGATCCTCGACGCCAACACAAAGCTGATCTCCGGTAGCAACCTCCGTGACAAGTTTTACGTGAAGCTGAACGCCTCACTTGCGGAGCTGGGTGTCGAGGTGATTTTGGGAGAACGTTTGACAGAGAGACTGACCGGCAATGGGTTCGAGAAACGCACGCTCCGGACCACCAAGGGCACTGCAATCGAATCGGATATCCAACTGCTGTGCGGTGGGTTCCACCCCGTCGCTGAGCTTGTGCAAGACATGGACCCGCAGCTGGTGACGGAGAGAGGAGCTGTTAAGGTGAACGAGCAATTGCAACTAGAAGGTGTGAGGTACTCAAATATGTTCGCTCTGGGTGATGTGTGCAACCACCCGTCACCCAAGATGGCGTTTATTGCTGGTGAACAAGGGAAGTTCCTGGCGGGGGAACTGATTGCGGTGATCCGCAATAAACAGCTGAGTTTCACCAAACCGTTCTTAGGTGCTGCGACGGAAGCCATGATTTCGCCTCTTGGCCCGAATGGAGGGGTGACTCAGCTTCCACTGTTCGGAGGAATTGTTATGGGTAACTGGGTTACGAAGACGATCAAATCGAAGGACTATTTCGCCGGTCAGATTTGGTCCAGCATCGGTGCCACTGTTCCTAAGTAATCCAAAGGGGAGAAACGGCGTCGCACCGATTTTAGTGCTCGCCAAGAGAAAGCGCGGGGGTGCTGAGGCAGAATACCCCCATCGCTCTGTTTGGGTGTTGTTTTAGACCACGTTTCCTAGACTTGTATTAATTCTCAACGGAATCATACCATATTGTCTAGCCCTAATACCTTGGACTAACGCGTTCTGCTTAGTATTAATGTATAAATTGCAACCTCTTTCTGCCATGACCTTCAACCCTTTAACAGTTTTTTTCGTGGTACCTGTATCTTTGCCAGAAAGGTACTGCTGTACAGGAGGACGGTAACGAGCAAGCAAACATATCATTAGTAACAAAGCATTTCATTGTTTTCTCATTGCAGTGTCAAAACTTTAAAGTGAAAACAATCCCTCCAAAGTGGCTGAAATTGCGGAGAGTTCAGCCACAACGCGCTGACCTGTTCGCATCACGTGCCTATTAATAGTACGCTTGAGGAGTAATATGATTGCTTGGTATATATTTACAAGCCGGGAGTTTGAAGTGCCATAAAAAATGTGTAGAGCCATAATCTGGCGATTATTTGTGCCGTGGTTATTAGTACAGTGCCATCATTTGGCAAAACTCAATTTTAAATACTCAAAGAGCAATTTTAAAATCGTGCTTTCAGACTATCAGAGTCGCCTTACATTTTTACTCAGCTTAACCGCGACAGTGTAATTTGCTCGTTGTCTGTATGCGCTGGTATAAACGTACCTAAATGTGTTCAAAAACGCCCTAATTGCTCTTATAAAATATATTGTGGCTCGCAGTATTTTTGCCCATCGTTTTGACGTCGGATATCGTAGAGGTGCGACAAAATAAATCGGTCTGTGCGAGGGTTAGGTTTTTTATTTTTGAGAGAAAGCGACCGTTCTGCCACTGCTGAAACTTCGTTAATCCGACCTCCCCCCAAAGTCACAGTCAACCGTCCGCAGCCCTCACCAGCAAGACACGAGGCTCCGGCAGGTAAGCCTCACTACCTCCCCTGCATGATCTGTCTAGCTGCCAATATCCTCTCGTGTTTGTGTTCTTTTGAAGTATAAGAAGGCTAGACTGACAAACAAGGGCAATAGACTGGAGGGAGAGGCAGACAAACAGGTACTAGCGTCTTATATGCAGCAAAGTACAGGTGACTGGCTAATGTCTTTGCGTTGTTCGTGTGGCGGCATAGGTGGCGAAGACATGTGACGTTCTTGTTCGGTAGAGCGTGTGTGGTGCGGTATCGTGGTTGCTAACAGACAACGAGATGCATCAACCACGCGGCGAGATAGCATGTAAGTTCCATCAAATGTCCTCTATGCCGCTTTACTTGAGTATATACTAATTAAATGTACGGTGCACTTGTGCAGATTAGTTTTTAATATACTGGCAGTGGCATTTCCAAAACACAATTGTCACCACAAGTCGAGTTGTCCGCAATTGCTAGTGTGTGCGTTTTGTCATGGATACAAGAGAGAATCAAGCTGCGATTTCTACCAGTGAACCCGAAGGTAATTTACCAAGAGTTTAACTGCCTGTTTAACTGTCCGAATTGGCGAAGCACACGGTAGTGCTCGAGGCGGTTGGAAGCAAGATGTGATGTTTGACATAGCCAAAGGTATCGATGTGTTTCGCGCAAAGTGCATTATGAAGTTTAATGCTTTAGCAGCAAGTGGTGACGTACTGAAGCGCAAGAAGCAACTACAATTGCGGGAGAACAGTGACATTTACCTGAAGCGATCGAGCAACGAAAATCAAGACAAATACATGCGATTGTCGACTACAAATTTCGTGGAGTCTTTGGGCCGGCGGTGGCAGCTTTTAAAGTCGAGTGACAGATCCATAGGAAGTGGATTCAGATTCTTGGCGTTCCTGTATGTGAAAAACGCTACACCGATTGCTGCATCGGCTGACTTTCAGCGAGCTACCGAGAAGCGCATACAGCGAGCACGCTTGCAGCGTTTAGCTCACGAAGCTACCAACGCGGTTACGTTTGGTGCTATTACCGGACATCATCTTGACATCGTCAATGCGCGTCGTCCAGACAGCGCTGTCTTTCACGTTCCGGACGACAATACTACTGCTCAAGCGATGGAATTAGATAGACAGCGGGAAGCATTAAGAACCCAGCGCATACAGGTTGAAGAACAAGCGCTAGCTCAAACAGCCATCATCAAACTGAAATGGAGTGGAGTGTGGATTCCTGTAGAAGTTGATGTGGTTTCACTGAGGAGAGCTATTGGCTTACCAGACCACGACATTTTTACATCTGGAATCTATCACGAGCTCACGCCAACAGCTCCATCACAAGCAAACCTAGAAGACTTTGAGCACAAAGAAGAAGAAGAGCATGAAGAAGAAGACAATGAAGGAGAAGCCATGGAGCTCTCTGATTTAGGATTGATTTAGATCACTTGTTCGCCTGAATGTATTACACTTTACTCGTGCTTCTTGCAGCTATCGATTAAACCCTCAAATACTTCGTCTTGCAGCGAGAAACTGTTGTAGCCACAGTGCTGGAAAGACCCAAAAAAAACTTTCTCGTTCCCGCTGGGTGCATTTGTTCATGGCTACATCCAATACCAATTCTGGGTAGAGAGGAAATACAAGATTCGCGTGGCGTTGAATCCATCGTTTTAAAAAGCCGAAACCTTGCTCGATTGGGTTTAGCTGCGAACAGTATGGTGGAAGATAGATCAGGCGAGCACCGCACGCATGAACCGCAGCTTGAAGCTCAGGATAAACGTGGATTTTCGCATTATCCATTACGACAATTGATCTTGGGAGTGGCCACGGGTTTAGCAACGGGATGACATGCTTTAAAAAAGCCTCGTGAAATTTTCCTTTTGTAAACGTTCCTTCTGTCCATTCCCATGCAATAAACCCGAAGACGTCGAGTGCAGCCAAAATCGAGAGTCTCTTTCCCCGTCGAAATGGCAACCTCACGATCGCTTTCGTGTTTCGTGGGGACCACGCGTAGCGTCGATAAGCGTGGCGTCCATCCTTGGAAGTTTCATCAAGAAAAATTAATTGCTCAGCGTACGAGTAAAGTGGTAGCAGCTTTTTCTCGTAGATACGAATTTTGGCTGGAACTGCTTCGCGTGCCGCCTTCGACAACACCTTGCGGCTGAGATTTAAATCAAAGTTGAGAGCACGACAAATAGTAGAGGTTGAAATCGTTCTAAGAAGAGGAAATTGTATGGAGATGCTATCTCGTAGCTCCTCAATGTAAAACGTTGGGTGGTCATCCACATACGCTTGCACAAACTGACGTACCTCTGGTGGCCATTTGGTCCTCTTCTCTTTTTGTTCAGGCTTGTCATTGACAATGCCATCACTTAAGAAAAGAGCGTACCAGCATCGAATAGACCGTAGCTTTGGACCTAGCAGATCTGACACATGATATTGTAGACGTGAAGGAGAGCGACTGCACGCCACCGAAAGTCATCGGATTAAGTCATACGACAGTGAATTAATAGGCGAAAAAATGCAGCAAACTCAAAGCAAAGCAACGACCACTCATTTTTGCCGATTTAAACCAGCAAAACGGACTTTATTTGATTATTCGGGCGTGAACGATCTGTGTAAATCGTAGCAAGACAGGAGACATGCTCTTCCATTTCGGAGCTGCAAAATATATCGGACCCGATATATCGGATATTTTACCATCCGTTTTGCCAAAAAACCTGCAAGCCACAATAACTTAGTTTTTCTAAAAATATTAATTATTCCGACAGTACATTGCATTCGCCGGAGTTAGCGAAAGGATATGAAGTCCGCTTGCATCACCAACTAACGATGGTAATGAACAGCCGCGCTTTGCTTTGCTGAGTGATGGTCGCCCCTCGGTTGCTCCGAGTGGTGACCATGACGATGGAGGAAGTAGCCATAACAACGCTAAGTTGTAGGGACTGAAAGTCAGCAGGGAAAAACGCCGAGTGATGCTGCTTGCTTTTGACGGCGCAAGTTGTCGAGTGGGCAGCAGCGCACGTAACCCCCCGGTAATATATTCGTAGGATTAGCAGTAGGATGGGGCTGGCGGCTCTCCAGCAAATGGTCCGTCGAAGTCCGGCTTCTGGACGCGATGCTCGCGTCCAGAAGGCACCTGAGCTTCAAGTTGGAGCTGGACGCAGTCCTGGGTCTTCCTCTACACTTGACACTCCCACTTGATCTAGCGCAGCTTCGACAAGATCAACTTGTAGAACTCACCACGATGTCCTTGGCGTCTTTTAACTGCGTTGCAGCACGGCGCTTCATCCTTGGCAGCGCTCTACCTCCTTCTTGCCCTTCGCATGCATGAATTGGTAGTAGTAGGTTGCATTCACGCACGGCGACGGTGTTTGGCTCCCACTGAACGAGCTGGGCCTTGCTGACGGTCGATGCGCAGCACCTCCATACCATCACGGCAATGTTCGAACCTGTCCTTCGGCAACGGATTCGTCATTGCGTCGGCGATCATGTCGTCGGTGCCAACATAGCGAATCCGTAGCTGCTCGTCCTCCATGAGGTGGCGCACCAAGTGAAACTTGTTCATAATGTACTTGCTCTTGCTGTGCTTTCCAGGCTTGGCAGTCAGATATATGCACGAGTTGTTAAAGCCGATGATCTCCGGAGTCGCAAACTCCCAGCATAGGTCTTCACAGAGTCCACGTAGCCACTGTAGATCTGTAGTTTCTTCATTCATGGCAATATACTCTGCTTCTGCTGTGCTCTGTGTGTTGATCGCCTGCTTTCTTGATCCGTACGAAACCACGTTACCATTGACGAAGGTCACGAACCCTCTAACACTCTTTCGATCATCAGCGTCATTAGAGTAGTCAGCATCGCTGTAGCACGTCAGCTTAACGTCGTTCTCTGTAACAATGTCCATCACTAAGCCGTGGTCTTGCGTACCACTCAGGTAGCGTAGCACCCTCTTCCCCATAGCTTTGCTTGTGTGGTCGAATTAGGACAGGTATTTGCTGAGATTACGCACAGCGTGCGCATTGGCCGGCCTTGAAGC